TGGAAGACCCATTTGTTTAAATTTTTGATAAATTATTCTTCAGTTTACACTGTTCAACGCGAATTTTGGTATCCATTGGGTGAATCTTTGTAGAGATTAACTTTCTTTCTTGCGGTTTTGTATTTGACGAACATGACATTAAACGTGACGATAACAGTGTCAACGGCTATAGGACCCATACCCCGGTCGTGCACGCGCTGGTACCCAGGACGAATAGGGCCGACAGACCGTCGAATTGATTCCAGATGCCCCACCAATCCGCCGACCGCCCAAGAATCGATGCATGACAAAAGTGGCACTGGCCGAAATGAGTGTCCAAGACAAGTCGTTTGGTCCAGTCGTTACAGTATGCCTTACGTGTACATATGGTTATCACGAGCTTTCGAGCTTGCGACATTTTTGGCCGATTTTTGATTTGAACATTTCGATCTGACAGTGAGTGATAAATTTTGACATTTTTTGCTGTCGTTGGAATCGATTCAGGGACGAACTAATCTGATGTAAATGTTCATAGCTTTCATGTGTGTGAATTGCGTAGGCGTAGATCATGGGGTTATTACCTGGTCATTAAATTTTTTGGCTTCTATCGTCAATATACGTTGCAAACTATTTGTTGTGAACAATTTTAATTTGTTATTAATAATAAGTTTAATAATTTAACTTTTTGCAAGTTATGGATACATTTTAACGCAAATTCGTCATACGTACTAGTAATAGCCAACAATTTAGCAATTTTTTCACTTGTATTATAAATTTACATTGCGAATATTATCGAATTACTTATCATCTTTGCAGTATCAGTCATATCCTACATTACACATTATCAAGTTACTTATCAACCCTTCAGTAACAGTTGTTTACAACACTGCCTATTATCCAGGCATTTATTATTTCTTCAACTTGGGAAGTTTTCTACATTACCATTATCGAGTTACCTATTATCTCTTCTGTAACGGTTCTTTCTACATTACCCATCATCGAGGTACTTATGATCTCTTGGGTAACGAAAACTTTCTACATTACCCACTAACAATTTTCTTATTATCACTATCAGGAGCAATTGTTTTCTTCGTTACCGATTATCGTGTTACTTATCACCCAATCAGTAACAGCAGTTTTCTACATGACTCATTATAGAGTTACCTATCACCTCTTCGGCAAAGATCGTTTCCTACATTATCGATTATCGAATTTCTTATTATCTCTTCAGTTACCGTCATTATCTACATTATCTACTATCGAGTTTCTTATTACCTCCTCAATTACCATAGTTTTCTACATAACCTATTATCGAGTTTCTTATTACCTCATCAGGAACAGTCGTTTTCTACATTAATGATTATCGTGTTTCCAATTATCTCTTCATTACCGGTCACTGTCTTCATTATAGATTATTTATACAATTTATATAATTTACATTATTTATACTGCAAGAAAGGGCAAATATAATTGCAACCTGCAAAGTAATACATAAATCGGGTGTAATGTAGAGAATGAGCGATAATGAAGAGATGATAAGTAAATTAGTAATGTAGAAAACGATCAACAATGAAGAAATAATAAGTACCTCGATAATCAGTAATGCAAAAAACAACCGTTACTGAAGTGATGATAAGTAACTCGATAATATTCGCAATGTAAATTAATAATACAAGTGGAAAAATTACGAAATTATTGGCTAATACTAGCAATGTATGACGAATTTGCGTTGAAATGTATCCATAACTTGCAAAAAGTTAGTAAGTTATTGAAATTACTATTAATAACAAATTAGTATTAGTAAAAAATAGTACGCAACATGTATTAACGATAAAAGTAAAAAAAGATAATAAATTATAAGCTACTACTTAAACAAACAACGTATTTGTGTTAAAATGTATGCATAACTTCCAAAAAGTTAATAAATTAATGAATTTATTGTTAATAACAAATTAAAATCATTAATATCAAATAGTTTGCAACGTATATTAACGACAAAAGTCAAAAAAGGTAATAAATTATTAGCTGCTAGTTAAACAAACAACGTATTTGTGTTAAAATTTATATATAACTTACAAAAAGTTAATAAATCAATAAATTTATTGCTAAGAACAAATTAAAATCATTGATATCAAATAGTTTGCAACGTATATTAATGGTAGAAGTCAAAAAAGTTAATAAATTATTAGTTATTACAGCAGAAAAGTAACTTTTAGAGGAATCGGTAAAGTTCGGAAATTTTCGCTGATCCTCGGCCGGCCGCCGCTATATAAGGGGCACGCGAGAAGCCACGAGTCAGTTCTCGGTTAGACTTCGGAAGGTCCGCGCTAATATTTTTTCGGTGGGGAAGGGGTTCCGAAAGTGAGGTTGTGTTATCAGTGGTCGTTGACTAGACCTTTGGCTAGTCGATAGCCACTGTACACTACACCCACACCCCAACCTCTTAAATAATTTAATAATAATTCTTCCTTTCAGGTACTAATTATTTTTTGTTTCAGGTTTTAATTATCTTTCTTTCAGATTCTATTTCTTTTATTCTAGCTTTCATTGATTGTGCATTCGAGTATTTTGTACAATATTCGAATGCTTCGTCGTTAGTTTATTTATATATCATCGTTGGCTAGTTCAATGGCTATTCAGTGGCCATTGTCCACTTTCTTAAATAATTTAAAGATAATTTCTTCTTTCAGGTACTAATTATCTTTTCTTTCAGGTTCTAATTATTTTTCTTCTTCCAGATTTTATTTCTCTCATTCTATTTGTCTTTGTTTCAGCATTCGAGTATTTCGTATAATATTCGAATGCTTCATCGTTGGTTTATTTATGTCTCATCGTTGGCTAAATTTTTCCTTTCACAAATTTTACGTCTCCATTCGATTTGTTTTCGTTAGAGCCTTCGAGTATTTCGTATAATACTCGAGCGCTTCCTCGTTGGTATGTTTATATCTCACCGTTGGTATGTTTCTCAGGTCTCGTCGTTGGCTTGCTCGCTCCACATGGTTATTAACCTTCATGGTTTCCGTTCCTTTCGCTTTCGTTTTCTTTTCTTGTACTAATCCGTTTCCTTTCAGGTACATATTAACAATAATATATTCAGTTTCAGCTTTTAGGTTTCTCAATATTCACAAGATTCCTTAGGACCTCATTTGCGACGCGAGATGCGTGCGTCTACTTTTAAGTAGTCATAAGATAGACTGCTAGGCTAAGTCCCATGTGCGCGCTGTCTGTACAAAGGTAAGCTACCTAACTTGAAGCTAATATATCTATTTTATATTCCTTCTTTCTCATCCCTCTCGTTCACCAAACAGAACGTTATCGTTCTCGCGATAGTCGCGATCTTTCTTAAGTACCGACTAGCCTACGCGACGTGCTCTCGTGTACTCGATAATATCATGCTTCATAAGCCATCTTCACGACTCGTGTCCGACACTCATCCTCGCCACTGCCACTCTTGTCATGCATCGGTTCTAGGGTGGTCGGCGGGTTGGGGGGCATCTGGAATCAATTCGAGGGTCTGTCGGCCTTAGTCGTCCTTGGCACCAGCGCGTGCACGACCGAGGTATGGGTCCTATAGCCGTTGACACTGCATAACGGCCTGCGGTCAGTCCCCATGGGATGATTAATTTCTCCCCCATGTGGCAGGGGCTGGCGTGACCGGTTATAAGGCCTCGCTAGGGGCCCTCGGCTTGGTTTTGGGTGTTTCTCTGGTTCGTTGAATACCTTCGTTCGCGAGTAAGTCATGGCAGAGTCTGTGGTGGCTGGGTGGGCTAGGTCCGATAGTGAGGGTGCCGAGGTATGAAGTTGTCTTGTACACGAGAGTACGTCGCGTCGACTAGTCGGTCTTTCGAATAATCGTAAACTCGTTCGGGCGCGTCGCGATTGTAACATAGTTTTTCTTTGCTTCCCCAATTTGTGGGAACTTAGAAATATTAGAGTCGCTTCAACTTAATTCGCTTCAGGTTAGATTAGATACCTTTGATACGGATAGCGCCAGCAGGCTGCGCCACTAGGGCGCATGTCGGGTCTCGACGCGTAGCCACCTCCACGTGGTGAGACCTGGTAATTGGTATCGTTTCCCAAAGAACAATTTTTCGGAAACGATTCCAAGCTGAGAGCTACGATTCGGATTTAAGATTATTGTTATCAATTGTAAATTTTCATAGTTCCTTTTGAACTTTGTGATTTTTCCGAAATTGTATAACAAAATTTTAATTTTTCTTTGTCGTAGACTATTATGTCGTAGTTCCGTTGCACTTGGTGCTCGGATTTTGAGTAGCTAAGGCATTGTTGGTGTTAGCGAACAATGACTGCATGACACAAGCGTGTAAGTATACGCATACCGTTTAATATTTCTTTCGAGTTAATAGAATTAAAAATGGTCTTGACAATTTGTACCATGGGTTCTTTGCAGAAAAGTGTACAGAATACGATACCTACTATGCCCGCAGAGTTTCCTGTGAAATAAAGAACGTTTTGTCAAAATGCACTGATGGTGCGTATGGAATACCCTCGGCGGCTTATTTTATAATTCGATGACAAATTATAATTATTCGTAAACACAAATACGTATGGACATTCATAGACTTCGGATACTCTCGTCTAACTTGTAAGGTAATAATGAATCTCCTAATGTTTCTATTTTTTTATATAATACTTCGTTTTATCAAAAAATCGTACGTTTTGATGCCAGAATTTTCAAAAATTAATGGTGATAGAGTAATTCTGATTACGGATTCATTTTCAAGAAAATAAACTCTACAAGAATTACCCAATGGATATTATAGATTCAAATTCGTGTCTGACAAAATAATTAGAAATTCAGAAAATGTTCATTGTATTTACAAATTCTTGTTTTGGATATTAATATCTTACCAAATATCGTCTAAATGGTATGTGCTTAGTTTATCATATATTCCACAAAGTTTTATACTAAACAATAATGTAATTACTTTTTAAATAGGGTATCCTTCAATTTCCCGATATTTCAAAAATTTTCTACGACCCAATATATTGCTCAAGTATTATTTTACCAAATTGAGTTCCCAAGATCCATGGAACCGATGTCGGGGATGGATTAGTTGTCCAGGCCCTTGCATACGATCCTTGATCCACGTGCCCATGAATTTCGAGTTCGCATCTGCGTAAAGATAAAACCCCATGCCGTGTCGAAGATTCTTCTTCCAGGAGCCTTCGTAGACGTCTCCATTCATATAATAATACACACCAAACCCGTACCTAGTATCTCGTTTCCACTCGCCTGCGGAATACGTGTTAATCTGCACATAGTGTATCAAACGTTTTCCTCTTTCTTTCCTATTATATAGTATCCACCACACTACGGAACCACTATTTTAGCATAACAATAGGACTAAAACATAACATATAGACCTTACATTTTATATTCGCAAATTCTACAATGTACCCTCAAAACTTTCATCACGTATCCTATCCGCATTGAAAAATCCTACAAAATAAAATTATTTCTTTCGGACCTTTCAGTTAAGTCACTTTCGTAGGTATCGGCGCGTTTATAATCTACATTAAATAACATTAAAGCCCAAAAAAAATAATTTTATTACTTATTTCGTGTTTCATTCATTGGTATTACAATAAAATAGAACTGCTTTTGCAAAAATAGTGGAAAATCGAATCTTCACATTAACTTTGTAGCTCGGTTCTAATTAATTTTTCATATTATCGTTATAAATACTATAGATATTTGGAGAAGACTATAATTAAATTATGATTAACCTAATTGCATCGGCGTTTATTTACCCTCATAACGCGTCCCGTCAGGGTACCAGAAAGTCTCTTGACCATACTTAACGCCATGTCTCCATTCGCCGGCATATCGGGCACCGATTTTGAACACGTATAGTCCGCGACCATGTCTCAATCCTTTGCAGTATAATCCAACGTACATATCGCCATTTGGAAGAAATGCTTTCCCGTGACCATGTCTATCACCTTTCTCGTTCCTCTTTCCTTCGTATAACTGTAATTATTTTCGTTATAATACTTTCCCAAGCGACGGGACGACGAACATAACCTCACAGCTCGATCTCCTATGCAGTATAATGGGTTAGCTGAGGTATACTGCACATCGACTATGTAGAAGGATATTTTCAGGTAGAAGTATGAGCATTAGGTGTAATATACTTGGAAAGGAAGGAAGGTATAGAAATAATATGTGTGATTCTTCATAAGCATTTCTATGTGGAGATTATGAAATTGTGGAATCGAGTGTTTCGCGTTTATTAATTATGAATGAAGAATGCATCGGAATGACGAAGTACTACACCAAGTGATTAATGTAGAATATTAGAAGTTTGACAAGAGAGTAACTCGTTGGTGATTTGAGGTTTTAGGTTACAAAGTAGATATATTTAAACATTCTATTGCAATATATTATTAAATAAAAAAATTAATTGTAAAACTTTGTAAATTTACAGAAACACTCTTTTAAATATCGTAATTAATGTCTAATAGCTCTCAAAACTTTTGTAAATTTCATGTGAAATTAAAGGTAGTTTCCATGGATTTATTCCACATAGAGTATGAAAATTTAATTTCGAGATTATGGAGTTTGAACGAGAGGTACAATTCTATTTGAATAATTGAAAATTACGGGTCGTAGGTTGTTAAAAGTTTCTCAAATATGGAAATTCGGATTGCTAATTTCTTAGGTTAGTAAACTCGAAAATGTAATTTCAACAGGATATTACGGTGATTACTCAGGTGGAGGAATAATTACCCCCAATGGATGTACTTCCGCTTCCCCTTGTTCTGCAGGGATGTCTGGATTTTCCATCGTGATTTGTATGTGCAAACTTCCTTTGCTCTTGCAATATTACGACGTCATCGAAGACATGGAAATCGTAAGCAGTTCTTGTTTTGTGTTTACATATAATTAATAGAAGTGATATAATGTTCAAAATAAAATTAATGGTAGGATGTCTTGAATAAGTTTGTTTAGATTTATATAATTTGTATTATTTATACTGCAAAATAGGGTAAATATTGTTGCAACCTGCGAAATACTGCATAGATCGCCAATAATGTAGAGAATGACAGGTAATTAAGAGATGATAAATAAATCAGTAATGTAGAAGACGGCCAATAATGAAGAGGTGATAAGTATTCGACAATCTATAATGTATACACAGACTGTTAATGAGGAGATGATGCGTAACAGAACAATAGGTAATGAAGAAAATAACTGTTACTAAAGATGTAATAAGAAACATGATAATAGATGAAGTAGAAAACAACCTTTACCGAAGAGATGATAAATAACTCGATAATCGGCAATGTAGAAAACAACTGTTTCTGATTAGGTGATAAGCAAGTCTATAATCAATAATGAAGAAAACCCCTGGTACTGAGGATATAATAAGAAACTCGACCATCGGTTATTTAGGAAACTACCGTTGCCAAAGAGAGATGGTAAGTAACTCGATAATCGGTAATGTAGGAAACAACTGTTTCTGATTAGGTGATAAGTAAGTCTATAATCAATAATGAAGAAAACAACTGGTACAGAAGAGGTAATATGAAACTTGACCATCAGTTATTTAGGAAACAACCGTTTCAAGGAGATAACGAGTAATTCGATAATCGATAATGAAGAAAATTACTGATACTGAAGGGGTAATGAAAAACTCGATAATCAGTAATGAAGAAAACTACCGTTACCGAAGAGATGATAAGTAACTCGATAGTCAATAATGTAGGCAACTTCTGTTACAGTATGTATGATAAGTAGCTCGATAATTGGAATGTAGATTATGATTGATACTGAAGAGATGGTAAGTAAATCGCTAATATTCGCAACGTAAATTTATAATACAAGTGAAAAAATGATAAATTATTGGTTATCGTTAGTACATATGACGAATTTGTGTTAAAATGGATCCGTAACTTCAAAAGAAGTTAATAGATTATTAAATTTGTTGTTAATAACAAATTAAAATTACTTTAACAATTGGTTTGCAACGCCTCTCCGCGATAAAAGTCAAAAAAGTTAATGAATTATTATCTACTATTTAAACAAACAACGTATTTGTGTTGAAATGTATCCATGACTTACAAAAAGTATATAAATTTATTGTTAATAGCAAGAGAAAATTATTGAGAACAAGTAGTTTGCAACGTATATTAACGATAAAAGTCAAAAAAGGTAATAAATTATTAGCTGCTAGTTAAACAAACAACGTATTTGTGTTAAAATTTATATATAACTTACAAAGAGTTAATAAATTAATAAATTTATTGCTAATAACAAATTAAAATCATTGATATCAAATAGTTTGCAACGTATATTAATGGTAGAAGTCAAAAAAGTTAATAAATTATTAGTTATTACAGCAGAAAAGTAACTTTTAGAGGAATCGGTAAAGTTCGGAAATTTTCGCTGATCCTCGGCCGGCCGCCGCTATATAAGGGGC